TTTACATGTAGGATATACAATGTACACAACTATAAATTAAGGCCGCATTTAGGTTCGCTTTAAACTAATCAAACAGCACATTTTAAAACTTCCATGAATTTAAAAATTTGTCCTGCTAGATTAATTTTCACACATACATCATATCAGACAAATGCACGCATTTTTGTCACTATCAAATCTGAAATGGCTGGCTAGTGGTCATCTTGTTTAAATGAATGCAGTTGCAAAGAACCGTATCTCATATATGCCAGGGCCAATCATGTTTAAATTTTACACATGCATCACACATCAGGTGAGGTTATATATATTTAGTGTGTATAATACAAACAAGGACTGTGTCAATGACGTGTTAATTTTGATCTCTGAATCTTTCAATGAAAACAATCGGCTAATCACATGATCTTGGTTATCTTCGGTAGTTCTTGTTCATAACTAGTGCTTTAAATTAACCTTTTCACCACCAGACTTTCTCGCCCAAATTTTTTTTTTAATTCTTCAGTATTTCTGGAAATGAATCCTAATTTTGGAGCGAACAAACACAAAGTTTGAGTCAATTTTCAGTTTTTACTGCAAAAATTTGGCTATTTTTGTCCTAATCTCCTGAAGGAAAGTTCAGACTATATATGGAACTACTGAGTATTTTGTGAATTTGTGATGAAAAGAGGGAAGTGGTGGCGAAAAGGTTAATAATTGATTGGTAATTGCTAATGTAATAAAATAATAATTTTAATCATTGTTTTTTTCAGAGATGTCAGAATGGATCAAGTTTTTCACAGGAGCTGGGATACCACCTGGAGCTGCATCAACATATTCATTGTCATTTATTGACAATAGAATAAAAAGAAATATGTTATTAGATCTCACAAAAGAATATCTGAAAGAAATGGGCATATCTGTAATGGGAGATGTGATAGCAATTCTAAAATATGCCAGGAGTACGCATCTAAAGGTTAATAATGCAGTTGATTTGACCTTCTTATAGCTTTCTGGTTGATAACAGTGAAATTACAGGAAAATATTAGAATTCCTAAATGCAGAATTCCTATGTTGATAGATTAGCTGCAATCGTATAAATTTAATTGATGAATTGTAATACCAGTAATGTAGTGTGATGTGTGATAGTTGTTTGTGGGTATATTTACAGGAAGAAAGAGAGATGCCAGCTCTGTCAGCTTTACCAGCAACCCAAGATGGTAAAATTGAAATCAAAAGACAAACAACAGGTACTGGATGTCATTTTATCTCCGTAGTTTTGAAGTATTTGAATGTTTGCAATCAGTAATGTTTTTATATTATTTGAAAGGCATACAATCAGTGATGTATTTATACGTGTCTAATTCATTTGTAGCTGGTAATCGCATGTTGGAACATTACATGCGTAAAGAAGGCATGATCAGTTCAGAGCCAGAAGCTAAAGTTAAAGTAACAACTGAGATGGCAGCCAGATTAGGTGCTGTTCCTAAAAGAGGTAACTACACTATGATCAAAACTGGCTTATCAAAATGTTACAATAATTGAATACAATGAATACAATTATAGTAATAATTTAAAACTATGAGATCCTGCATTTAGCATGAAATGAAATGTAAAAATGGGCAAACAAAGGTTGTAATAGCATCAAAACATTGAGTGTGATTCGGTAAATGTGGAAGTAG